TGTTTCATGAAACAAGAAAAGTTAGGTGAAGGCAAAAAGGTAAAGCCACAGATTTGTTTTCTTTATTGTAATCTGCGCTTTAAATAAATCTTACTTTGTTTATTATCCACAGTATTCCTGGGAAGCTTATGTAGGCTGCCATGACGGTCACTAGCCCCGCCCACAGCCCTCCCCACTGTTCGCTTTTTCCAGTGCGCAAGAAATTCATTCATTCAGATAGTTATGATAACAACAAATTTAGTTTGTTTTTGCTTTAACTGGCAGCTTGAGCAGTTCAATTCCAAGTTTGGGTTCAACTTGTGTATTTGTCGGCTGCCACAACAACTGAAGAAAACAGAGAAACGCTTTAGAAACACTTTGACTGGAACAAGACATAAGGCATAGCGTCCTACAAACTGCACTTTGTGCCGACGAAGGAGGATCGTAAACTAACATGGCTGCAGCTTTAAATCTGAAAAACCCACCGAAGAGACTTTGCTTGCTTTTTTCATTTTATGGACCAAAAAAATCCCACAGATATTCACTGTGATGCAGAGCTAAGGCTGGTTACCRAAGGCGTCTCGTCTGAACCACTGTGAGTCAGACAGCTTCCAGCAATATCAACCAAAACCCTGAATCTGTACCTGACGAGTTAAACTCTAAATGTTGCTATTTAATCGTGCAGTTCTTTGCTTTTACTGAATGAAAGCCTACGACGAATGGCCTTAGCATCAGCGCTAACYACTGTTAGCCTGGTTGTTTAGCATGTTATTTGCAACTAATCTTAACTTTAAAGAAATATTTTGCCTATGGTTTGTAGCCGCATGCTGGCAAAACTATATAACTGTCTTAAATTAACTGTCTCAAGTCTGAGTAAGCTCAGAATAATAAACAATCCTCTTCTCAGCTACGTGCTAAAATATGTTGATTACATCACGACAGGATTAAAAGACGAGCTGAGCAGCGCCCAGGGGCTATAAAAGTGTCCGGTTTGTTTAAATAAAAATATGTTAACAGAGTTATTAGAGGCAGTTTATTTATTTTTGTTTATGCTTTATTTAAAATGACTGCAGCTGCCTTCAGTTTATCTCTCAAAGTTACTAGCGAACTAGCAGGCAATGAATTTTATGCTTTGAGTAAGGGGGAGAAACCGTCTAATCACAATACTTCTATAAAATTATTACAGTTATGAGGGGCTTATGAATATTTTACTTCCAGAATGGTTGACATTTATGATTTTGCATGTGTGTGTCTTCGGAGAAAGACGAGGTAGTTGATGTCAGAAGTAGCTATTAGCCAACATCGGGACATAGCTGCTAAGGTTGGGCGATATTGGCAAAAAAAAATTAATCACGATTAATTGTGGTATTTAGCCGATAACGATTTATTTGACCATTAATGCCCTGGAGTCCCTAGACACATTTATGTCCTCGCCACATGACCAATTTAGTGAGAAAGATCTGATCTTTGTAAAAAAAATTGTTCCAAATTGTGTGAAAATTACAGATTTCAGGATATACACTCCTGATCAAAATCTTAAGACCAGTCAAAAAAGTGCAAGAATTTGCATTTTGCACTATTGGATCTTAAGAAGGTTC